TTTCAGAAATGTGTGGCCAGTCTTACTGCTGATAATGGCCTTGGCTTTTCCGATGCTGACTTAACTCCCAAAGGAAGGAAACACAACGATGCGTTACATGTTTCAGTTGAATGTCGGGGAACCACTCTCGCCCATGTCTTAGTTGATACTGGTTCTTCCTTGAATGTGCTGCCAAAGAAAGCCTTAGACCGTTTGGACTGCGAAGGACTGACTCTCAAACCTAGTAACATCGTTGTTAGGGATTTTGATGGTTCCAAGAGAATGGTTCATGGAGAGGTTGATATTCCTATCAAAGTAGGCACAAAAGTTTTCAACTCCACCTTCTACGTGATGGACATTCGTCCGTCATATTCGTGTTTGCTAGGGAGATCGTGGATCCATTATGTCGGGGCAGTTACCTCCTTTTTGCACCAAATGCTGAAATATCCTGTTAAGGGTAAGATTATAACAGTGCACGGCGAGGAAGAGTACATGATAAGTCATCTCAATTCCTTCCGCTATATGGAGTTGGATGGCGAGTTCATCGAAACGCCTTTCCAACATTTTGAGGAAGTGTCTCCTGAGGTAGCAGTTGCGAAGATAATGGTCGAGATGCCTATCGTTCCCAAGCATGTATCTAGGATGGCATCTCTCAAGGACACAGAGGCGGTGATCAAAGAAGGGAAGAGTACATTATGGGGACAATTGCCTGACTTCCCCCATAAGACAGACAAGTATGGGTTAGGGTTCACTGCTCAGGACAAAAGGCTATGCGTCGCTCCAAGGCTGGAGGGCCACCCATCAAGATCTCTCACCATGGAATCAATGTTGTAGAATATGAAGATGAAGAGAGCCACTTTGAAGATTGGATCTTTCCGACCGTCGAAGGGCGTTTGAGCAACTGGGAAGCAAAGGATTTTGTTCCTATCACCTTTATCAACCAGTAATTTTATCTTTGAACAATTTCCCATTTTTATGGTCTGTAATAACTAAAACAATTCGCACACTATTTTCACCTCATGCCTTGCCCGGGGCATGTAGGTCCATTTGTAAGGGCTTGCTTTTCTTCATAATCATATGCCATGTTTTAATGAATCATTGGACATTTTTCATCTATAAACTGCTGTGTTCATTTTCTTTCCTTTTGCATTTTTGTTTGTTTAAGGATGGTTATCCCTTACACACACCCACACTCACAAATGCAGGTACCCATCCACTCCGGATTCCATGGGTGACTATTCTGCTTTAGCCTTCGATAACTCTGAAGATTTGGTCAATCATGCTGAGTACGAAGTTGACGAAGATTGTGAAGTGCCGGGAGAGTTAGCCAGACTTCTACAACAAGAAGAGAGGGCCATTCTGCCTCATGAAGAGTTGCTAGAAACCATTAACTTAGGGACAGAGGAAGACAGGAAGGAAGTAAAAGTGGGTGCCAACCTGGAACCAAGTGTCAAGGGGCGCTTAGTGTAGTTGTTGAACGAATATGTTGAAATCTTCGCCTGGTCTTATGAAGACATGCCAGGGTTAGACGCAGATATTGTGGTTCACCGTCTTCCCACAAGAGAAGACTGTTCACCGATCAAGCAAAAGGTCCGCCGAATGAGGCCTGACATGTCTGAGAAGATTAAAGCTGAGGTAATGAAACAATTCAATGCTGGCTTTCTGGCTGTTACTTCCTATCCACAATGGATTGCTAACATTGTGCCCGTGCCTAAAAAGGACGGCAAAGTCAGAATGTGTGTAGACTATCAGGATTTGAACAGGGCTAGCCCTAAAGACGATTTTCCGCTGCCACATATCGACATCTTGGTTGACAACACAGCTCAGCACAAGGTGTTTTCCTTCATGGATGGATTCTCGGGATACAACCAGATCAAAATGGCCCCCGAGGACATGGAGAAAACTACTTTCGTCACGCAATGGGGTACCTTCTGCTACAAAGTGATGCCATTCGGACTAAAGAATGCAGGGGCAACTTATCAACGCGCCATGGTAGCTTTGTTTCATGATATGATACATCATGAGATCGAAGTTTACATAGACGACATGATAGCTCGATCACAGACAGAAGAAGAACACCTTGGTCATTTGCAAAAGTTGTTTGTCAGGTTGAAGGAGTATAAGCTCAGACTGAACCCAAGCAAGTGCGCTTTTGGAGTTAGGTCTGGTAAACTTTTGGGATTTATTGTCAAAAACAAAGGCATTGAGGTTGATCCAGCTAAAGTGAAGGCTATACAAGAAATGCTACGTGTATGGTATGTTGCAAGTATGGTATGTTGCATGTGCATAAAGTTCTATAGAATAAAAGAAGAAAAATTGATGACTGCTCCAATATTATTTTTGCCTAATCCGAGTGAGTCATTTGTAGTGTATTATGAGTGCGTCTAAGATGGGACTTAGTGGTGTGCTAATGCTGAATGGACAAGTTGTTGCTTGTGCTTCTAGACGACTCATAGTTCATGAGAGGAATTACCCTACGTGTGACTTAGAGTTAGCAGCGGTGGTGTTTATGTTGAAGATTTGGAGACATTATCTTTTTGGTTCTAGATTTGAAGTATTTAGTGACCATAAGAGTTTAAAGTATTTATTTGACCAGAAAGAATTGAATAGGAGACAACGAAGATGGTTGGAGTTGTTGAAAGATTATGATTTTGGTTTGAATTATCATCCAGGTAAAGCTAATGTCGTGGCTGATGCTTTAAGTGGAAAGACTTTACATATGTCGGCAATGATGGTTAAAGAATTGGAATTAATTGAACGGTTCAGAGATATGAGCTTAGTTTGCAAAGTGAAACCGAAGAGTGTTATGTTGGGGATGTTGAATATTAACAATGATTTTCTAGACAGTATCAAAGAAGCTCAGAAGTTAGATGTTGGTAGATTCGATGGTTGGACTCGATCAGTCTGAGAATGATGATTTCAAGTTAGATGTGCAGGGTGTGTTGAGATTCTGTAATCGAATTTGTATTCTTGATGATGCGAAGATGAAGAAATTAATTATTGAGTTGGAGGATACTTAACCTTTGTGTGAGGCTAAGTGAGTGTAATATGGACCGTGTAATATGTTGAGCGTTGGGGTCTCATCGACAAAATCGAATGAGAGAAAAATTGTGGAAGTATTTGTAAATCTCATTGGAAATTATTGGATTATGGTGTGTTAGGTTACTTGAGTACAAGTTCTAAAGGAACACTATTATAGTTTGGTAACGACATATTAATTGGGAGCAACCATTAAAAAATGCAATATTAAATTAAATTCAATACGAACATCGGGCAATGTTCATTTTGATATACAGACTAGTACAAGATTTATCATGCTAATGAGAATATTACCTTCAGTACACAATCTGTTGAAATACTTGACTCTTGACCTTCAGTTGCAACTGCCTGTAATAGCAAAATACAATTAGATATGCAAAGATATGAATCCCAACAACTATATCAAGACTGACAATAGCTTCTGTATGTATACCTTCATGTAGACATCAATATCTAGATCATGCTTGATATTTGCTGCCTTCTCTCTTCTAGATATCTGGATCAGACTTGTAATTAAAATCACCTATGTGTCAACATGATATGAAAAGTAAAGCTTAAACAAACTAAAGTATTGAGTAAATGACCAAAAGATGAATCAGCATTGTGGTCAAATTGATTAGAATGTCTCATTGAGTTGAAAGACCAAATAAAAGGTAACCAAATAGACCTATTGAGAAGTATACACGTGCACAGATGATTAGTGCTATTCTAACCGCTTTTTTCATTTCTGATGGTTTCCCAAGTTGAAATCCAATCGGATGTACTGAAAGTAAAAACAATTATTAGTAAAATAATCAATTTTTTCATCACTACATCACTACAAAAACAAAAGGATAACATTATAGTATTTGTTTACTTTTTCTTCAAACCTTTAGTACTCTAAACCAACATGGCTGACCATGGTGGGTATGTGAGTTATCCATAATGTCAACAAGAACAAGAAAATAAGCTTGAATCTGTGAAAATCATCAACAGGAGATCAATGAAATGTCAAGTACTCAACATATGAAGCAATAACAATGTCACAAAAATCAATGAAATGGAATTACAGTGAGCTTAGTAATAATATTCTTGTACCAAAAGACCATCAAAACTTGAAAAGTATAATTGAAAAAAAAAGGCAAGGGTGATAAGTCTATTCATTTTTAAGTTAAGAGAAGAAACTTTTACCTAGATAAAGGATCCAAATATGCTACCAATCTCAAATAAAAATCATCTAACTCCTTATACTAATATGATATCCCCAAGACTTGTTGAACCTGAAATGGATTTAGCCCAAAACACCTTTCTAGTACTGTTATACTGCAGCTCCCATATACATGTTCTGGTAGAAACACAAACAACTAATATAACAAAGTTGAATCACAAGTTTTTGTAAGTTTCAAACAAGTTTATTGTTAGATAACAAACACTATACATAAACCATTTGTCATAGACTCACATAGAATAAGAGCTACGTGATTATTAAGTTTTAAAGCAAACAAACAACATTGCTCAGTCATTAATACAATGAAGTCACAAAATAATGACATACAAAATTTGAAAGCATAGAAAGACAGAGAGGCACCTCAGAGTTAACTGTCACAATGTTTATTAATTTTTAAAAAAGTAAAGACAGTTAGTGTCAACCGTTGTAACCCTTGTTTCTATGCGCCAATTACGACAGTTATTAAGTAACTGTCATAATTTTTATAAAACTCTAATTTTCTTTGTAGTGTATCTAATCCACGTCAAACTTTATCTAATTAACAAAATTTATCTAAAGATTAATAATCTATCTTTAGATTTTGTTTTGCCAATTCATTTAATCCAATTAAAAGCATATATTTTCGGTCAACTATGTCATTAAACAACTTTAAACCATATAAATTGATCGTGTTCTATCTCAATTCTTCATCCATCATTTTTATTCTCATAAACAAAGCATAATTATTTAATATAAGTTATCTCTTAATTTTATCCTTAATTATTTTCTATTAAACATGGAGGGTGATAATTCAACTTGCAATGGAAATCTCGATGCAGTTTTAAATGTAGACGACAATGCAACACAAATGTGTGATGACTCAAGCATTGAAGCTCATGTTCCTCTTTTACAGAAGGTGATTTTATGATGTTTAAAAAAGTTCAATTGTTGTATATAATATATGATACATGATATTTTAAATAAAATTATGACTATACAAAATAATTGTGTTTATTGTTGAATATAGTTGATAGCAGAGGTGGTGGGAACATTCTTCTTAATATTTATTGGATGTGGTGTTGTAGTTACAAATCTTAACAACGATAATGTAGTGACACTTCTTGGAATCGCAATTGTTTGGGGACTTTGCGTTGTGGTATTGGTATATTCTCTTGGCCATATTTCTGGTGCTCATTTTAATCCTGCGGTTACAATTGCTCATGCATCTACCAAAAGATTTCCATTGGTGCAGGTAAAGTCTTACCTAAGAAAGTACTTTTTTTTGTAAAAAAAAACTTAGTTATTAATTTTTAATTTGATTTTGACATGCAGGTACCACCATATATAATCGCTCAACTCGTTGGATCCCTACTTGCAAGTGGAGCTCTGAAACTTGTATTCACTGGCAAAGAAAATCAATTTGTAGGAACACTTCCAGCCGGTTCTGACCTTCAAGCTTTTGTCATTGAATTTATAATTACTTTCTATCTTATGTTCATCATTTCTGGAGTTGCCACCGATGACAGAGCGGTAATTTAAAAAAAAAATTTGATTGATATTAATAATAAAAATATTAAAAGTAAAAATACTTAAAAAAGTATTTGGTCTATGAAAATCTATCAATTTTTGGTTTTAATTTATGTAATTTTATTTATTTTTGCAGATCGGTGAATTGGCTGGACTTGCAGTTGGATCTGCAATTATTCTAAATGTGTTGTTTGCTGGGTATTAATCTTAAGACCTTCCTAATTGCTATAAATCATTAAGTGCAATGTTTAAATAAAATTTAGATGTTACATGTTTTTATGAGAAATGTTAAACTTTGTGATTTAAAATATATTTGACAGGCCAATCACAGGAGCATCAATGAATCCAGCGAGAAGTTTAGGTCCAGCTATTGTGCACCACGAATATAGAGGGATATGGATTTATTTAATTTCACCTATTCTAGGAGCTTTGGCTGGTACATGGACATATACTTTTATCAGAACCACAAACAAACCAGTACGTGAGATCACAAAAAGTTGTTCATTCCTTAAACAATCGGGAAGGAAGTGAACATATTGATTATAAAAGTATTCATTTTATTATTAAAAAAATCACAATGTATTACCTGCAAGTGTACAAAAAAATTATTTTATTAATAAAACAACAATTACGCCTTATCTCATTAGATAAAATTGACTACATAAATCAACTTTTACTATAATGTTCTATCAAGAACCACCGGTACGAAAAATATGATAAGGTGTCATATCCACCGACACAGTTTTCTCACGCTGTCATACTCCCATCCAGAACTATTCCTTCGTTCCCGTCTCACAGCAGCAACACATCTGGCTCGGGCTCTCTCTCTGTAAACTCCAAGACTTGCCAAGAAAGAAAACAACCGAATTACAGTGATAGAATCATCGCCACCGTGTCGATGCACATGCAGTGGTTCCTCTCAAACCCTTTCGAATATCAACGACAAGCGCTCAATCTCATTCTGAACTTTCCGTTCAAGATCGTCGTCTACAATCCAAATCCCAATGGCCGTTACCAATAACCTTAGCGAAATTGGACTTGCGAAGCATTTCTGGATCAAGTTCAACCGTGAATCAATCTTTGCGTTGTTCACTCCTTTTGTCATCTCTTTAGCCTCCGGTAACCTCAAGACCGATTCCTTCCGTCATTACATCGCACAAGATGTTCATTTTCTTCGTTCTTTTGCTAAAGCGTAACTCTCTTTCATATACTTTTTCTTGTTTTGGTAGTTAGATGAAATATATAAATGGTGTTTGATTTGGATTCTTGATCTCTGTAGATAACTATACAGATATGTTAGAATCATTGTTGTTATTGTTCTGAGATACCCTATTAGTACAAGATACGCTTAAATTGTGCTATAGTGGCGCTACAGACGTTGCTTATCTGAATTTGAACACTAATTAGGATATCTTTCTTGTCTTGATTGGTGGAAATGAATTGCTCTCTCGAATGGAATAATATGATTTTTAAGTAAGTGAAATTGAATGAGGATTTTGGAAATGAGTGCAACTAACAGATCATGCATATTAAATTTTAATTTATGTCTGAGATACTCTATTTAGTACAAGATATGGTCAAATCGCAGCTATAGATACTGCCTAGCGAAAATTTTAACCGACTTCTATTTTCTGCTATCCACGATTGACAAAACACTAAATAGAATATGTTTGTTTTCTTGGTTGGCGGAAGTGAATTGATGTCTCGACTGGATTCATGTGATTTTAATATAAATGCAACTGAACTTAGGGATTTTGGAATTGAATGCAACTAAAAGTTCATGAGTATGAAATTTTATTTTATGTTTGCCCCTCCTGTTTGTCAATTTTCTTAGCTACTTAAATTGGAGAGTGTTGTACCCCAAAATTTGCCCTCTCATTTCTCCAATATTTTCTCATCACAAGACTCTTGGAGCTCAAGATCAAGTTAGGGTTTGTCCTGCTCAAGACTCCTCCTTGCACTGTTGACCCAAATTAGGGTTTGAGTTTGCACAAATATGTTTTGACCTAAAATACCCAAAGTGACTTTCATGCTTCATATTGGACTCACAAGTTTATCCATACCAAGTTTTAAGCCTTGATTTCATTCTTTGCCCAGTCAATTGGACAGTTGACCTAGAAATCAGCTGTATTGGGGAAAAAAGTCAACTGTGGCCATTTGACAGTCAAACCTCATGATTTTTGACCCACATCAACATATTGAACTCATATGAACCATTTGGTCAAGTTTGGATCACAATTCCACAAGAAATTTGATCAGATCACCAAAAGGGCAAAATGGTCATTTTTAGGGTTTTGACTGCACAAAGGCAATTTTTGACTGTTTGACCTAACCAATGGCAAATCAAGCTCACATATGGACTCAAGGACTCAATGGCATTGTCTTGACACATTCAACAAGTTCAAAAGGTTCCAAATGCACAAGATTGACAGATGAATTTTCCAGTCAACTGATCAAATTTGACTGTATACTGAAAAGTCAAACTTTGACTTTTTGGTCAAAATCAAGTGCCAAGATTCATTTTTCATCAAGACATGTCAAATTATGAAACTTGTTTATCAAGAAACCCAAAATTGCAAATTAGGGTTTAAAATGAATAAAATTTCATAACTTAGAAATTTTCTAAGTTATAAAATTCCCTTATTTTTTCCTAACTTTGTCCCATTTTTTCATCAAGATACATTTGGATTCAAACAAAACTCAAAACATGAAAGTTGTAGTCCATTGCAAAATCTACAACTTTGATTCACAAAGTTTCCTCAAAAGAAGCTTGTAGCTCAAGTTATGATTTCTGGAACAAGGGTGCAAAACATTCTTAACTTAGAAAATTTTTGACCTATTTTAGGCAGGATTTTTGCCCAACTTAATGGCCACTTTTCACATGCTTCCACTTGGAATTTCAATTTGCATTACAAAGATAGATTGTAGTACACATTCCAAGCTTTCCAAATTGTCTAAGAACTTCTCAAACACCCTTGTGGTTAGGGAGAATCAAATTTGCAAAGTTGGGCAAAATCCACTTTTGCTCTTGACAAAGGCATGTTCATACACTTTGCATTTTCAAACTCAGCATGGTTCAAGCTAGATTACAGGCCTCTAATCTTTCTCACACTCAATAATTTAATGCATATCCTTTGTGTTCAAGTCTTATTTGGTGTATTTAGCCATTACATACAAGATTAGTCCATAATTAGAAAAAGCATTTTTGCCATTTTTGAAAAGGTCCACTTTATGTCAAAGTCCATATCTTGGAAGTACAAGCAGATCTTTGAGGCACAAGTTTATGGACAAATCCCACTGATCAAGAAGAGAAAATGCAGCATGCTTGAGGGGCCTGTATGAGCCTATAACCCAACTTGACAAACTTTGCTTAGATGAGAAGAAAACTTGCATATTGAACCACTTCAAACACATTCTATAGCATCCATACAAACTATCCCAAGCCCTAGATACAGACTGTAACACCCCTAACCAAGTTTGCCATTTTCACTTTCCAGTTGTGCAGGTTGAGTTACATAGCTCGATTCAGTTAGTTTCAAAGCAAGCTAGAGGTTGGAGGAGCATCCTTGGACTTCAGGCAAGCTGTACAAATCCTCAAACTCCATTGAAGGTACCTCCATTGCTGCACACGACTCAAGCTGAACAGGTAAAATTTTGAACTTCTATCTCTCTATCCAAGCATAGTTAGGCTTAAGTTTATGAAGAAAGCATGTTCTACTCATAGCCCTGAAGTCATCCATGTAGTTAATTTTCATTTATATTGTGTGTGCTGAGAGAATTTTGGACCTGAACATAGAAGAAAACTTAGGTCAGAAATTGGGGGAGGAGAAATTCTCTCTCATTTCTGAGAGTTAGAACAACTTCTTTATATGTTTAGAATCGTGACATGACGCTCTATAATGTTTATGTTGTGAGTTTTTGCTAAAAGTCAAAGAATCAGGAAGTTTAAATCAAGCATGGAGGGCACGCGTTTTTTGACAGAAATGGCTGGAGGTTGAAGAAGGTGGACTTGGGTTGGGCCTGAGTTTGTTTTTTCTGTTTGCACCATCTTTTTCCACCTACACCCCCTTGACCCATTGTGTGATATTTTGCTTATTTTTGACTTTTTATTTTTTTTCTTCTGACTTATTATTTTTTGTCAAAACATAAAAAATATTAAAAATATTTTTCCACCCATTTTTGCATTTTATTTGGATTTTATTTGTTTTATTTGAACTTATACATGTAAAATAATAAATACCTTTTATTTAAAACATTAAAAATAACATAAAATATATATTTTCAACCATCATTTTTTATTTACTTTTTGAAAACATTTTCTAAGAAATATACTTCTTTTTTTAAAAATAATTAATATTTTTATTTTTGTATATATTTAGTATATTTAAGTGTATATAATATAAATACTTGTATATTCATTAAATATTTAGGACAAAAATATGAAAATAATACATTTTTTATTTTTTAATATTTGATATTAAAAAATACTTTTTTACAATATACTTCTCTTTTTTTATTTTTTGTATATAATTAACAAATATTGTGTATAATGTAATTAATAAATACCATTTATTTAGAAAATTAGGGTTTTGCCCTAAATCATGAAAATATCCAAAAAAAATGGACTTTTTATTTTTTGTTTATATTTTACATTGAAAAACACTTTTACATACATATAAAAAACATTTTTGTGCATAATACATTTTGCATTTTGTATTTATTTAATTATTGTACATTTTAAATATTTGTATATTCAATATGGATGTAATAGCTTAGATTTTAATTTCTTGTTAAATATCCCCCATTTGAACATTTGTACCCCCATCCCCATAATTATGTTGTAATAATTTAGGACTTTAAATTCCGCATTTTAAAGCTTTCTAATTATGCCATGATAGACCTAGGGTTTGTATGCAAAAATCAACCAACAAATAGTTTGACCTAATTTAAAGATAAACAAGCATGAAAATGGACAACACCAATCACACTTGCACCCTTAGGGTTACTCCACTTGTTGCCTTCAAAAATGGGTCATGCTTGCATGTTGAGTGTCTTTGGCAAAACAAAACAAATCAAATGATCATAGTCCCTCGATGACGCTTTCAAAGTTGCCTAAAAATGATCAAGTCCCTTAAAGGAAAATTTGCCAAAGATACTTGACACCATTGAATTCATGGTCTAAACGATGACCCGCGCCCGTCCCGTTAGCATCCTAACACAAGATTGTCCACCAAATACAATGGTGGAACAATACTGTTAAAAGGGTTAAAACATAGGAAAAATCTTTGAGTAAACTTAGGGGTAGACAACTCTTGGTTACTTGACCAACTTGCAAAACACACTTGCCTACTTTTTAAAAATACACATCACAACACAATCTCAAAACAAACTTTCAAAACATTGAAAACTTTTCAAAAAAATAAATACACCTTTGTATACATTCAAACATGGATCATTACAAAGGTTGCCACCACCATGGCCTCTTTTCAAAACCACACACACCAAGCACCATTTCAAACAATTGAAAATGCAAGGCAAGTGATCTAAGCAAGCAACTAAGAGCCCATGGATAACCATGGATAGAAAGGGTGCTAATACCTTCCCTTTCTATAATCTACTCCCCGAACCCAAGGAAACATCTCAAAGGTTTTTTCTATGCTTTTTAACTTTTCCTTAGGATAAAATAAAAAGTCGGTGGCGACTCTTACTAAACTGAAACATTTGCGAATAAAAACGCAAAACCTCAAGTCAGTTCTCCCACCGTATCACAGAGAGTTTGATTATTTAGTGAACTTGTATGTGTAAATTTGATTGAGGTGAGTTTCGATCTTTAAAATATACAAGACCAGGCAAGACCTATCCCCTCTCCTTTTTTAAGACAAGATGAAACTAGTAAAAGGTTATGGTAAGTAACTTGACTGTTTAAGTTTATTCCTTGAATTTTTATGATTTCATAGGTATGAGTTGGCGCAAGAGTGTGCCGACGATGATGATGATAAGCTTGGACTTTCTCAGTTGAGGAAGGAAGTCTTAGAGGAGCTTAAGTTGCACGACTCTCTGGTAAAGGTAAGACATTTTTCTAAGTAACATGGGCCTGAATTGGGCCAGGTCCCGTTGTGACTTGAGTTATGAATTACTATTATTCAAGGGAAGAAGACTATTGTCATAACTTTCAACCTGTAAATAGGACAGATCCCAATTAATATTTAAGGAGATTTTATTAAGAAAATTGTAGAGGAGATTCGGGCTCGCATTAAAATTCTCGATGGTCCTCCCGGTACTTCAGAAAGGGCTGTGAGTATTTTATATCACATTGTAACTTTCTCTATTTGGTTTGTATCTATCTGTATGGCTAACTAGTTAGCTGCATTTGTATCTTGGTAGCATTTCCCTCCACGTGATGTTGTGTATGTTACCATGATCATTAAATCTCATATCAAAACTAGCATAGTTTCTTACAATAATTTAGGATAAATAGCAAGCTATTTGTAGTAAGTTGTTTGGTGTCAAGCATTAACTTTGGTTAAGTGGTTTCAAAATAGTACAGAAATATTGCTTACCACCTCACAACATATGTTTTGTTCGAAAAATCAAAACAAGAGACAAAAGGAAATCAAAAAACAGAAACAAAGTTGAACAAGAAAGGTATGAATTTCCATCTATTTTTTTAAACAACACTTGTTGATTGTTAAATAGTATTACTGAGCGTATATATTTTATGGAGTTATCATAACTTATAACGATTATTGTGTTGCAAATCGGTGCATATTGGAATTCATTACGGTTTTCTGATTCGAAAAATTGAGAGGAAATTGCTTCATTGATTCCTTCGCAGAGGTGTTTTACATGAATGAGAGTGTTGTTTTAGACAACCCAACTCTTCCAACTTTCCCCATCAATGGGCCAGATGTATCCGTGTTTCAGATGACACGGTTGGTTAACAAGACTGTAGATTGTGTTGTGGAGAAAAACATTGTTCGGAACCGCCATGAGCATGGAAGGCTGGAGTTTGGGCTAGTTATTTCGGGTACGCTCAAGTTCAGCAACACCATCTTCCATTCCCGGAAGTCTTTGAAGGTGATTTGCTACCCTCTCAAGTTTGGATAATGCGGAACTTTATTGGAACACTTAGACTACACTTGATTGGTTATAAGTCTTGGGATGGCATCGTTCCTGATCAAAGTGTAAGAATTTTCCTTGTCATCGTTCCTGATCAAAGTGTAAGAATCTTCCTTGTCATCAATACTGGATATTATTTGGAACAACTTATGTCTAGCCCATTTTTTCTTGGTTTGAATTGGTACATTGATTTATTTTTATATTTGTTGTAAATCATCTAAAATTTGGAACAAGTAATGTTATGCTAATTGAATTTTAATCTATGGATGAATGAAATCTATTGTTGCTTCTTCAATCCTCGTTTATCTAATTTCGGCCATGATCTATTTTTGTATTATCCACCTCTTGTATGGTCTTTAGTTGATAAGTACAACAAAAAAATTAAGTAACAAAAAAATTACAGAAAATTCAGCTCGTTCCCGCTAAAAAATAGAAAAATATTACATCGGTCATTGTAGAAACCGATGTAAAAATCAGTATATTACATCGGACCAGTTACGTAACCGATGTTATATATATATATATATATATATATATATATATATATATATATATATATATATATATATATATATATATATATATATATATATATATATATATATATATATATATATATATATATATATTTATATATTAAATTTTATTTTTTTTCACATCAGACCTTTCATTTAACCGATGTGGTATGTGTATTTTTTACATTGGGTTATTGGCCGATGTAAAATGTCTTTGATTTACTACATCACTTGAATTTATATTGGATCCAGATCCGATGTAAAATGTACTTTTCGCCCGATGTAAAAAGTTTTTTCTGCACTAGTGCATGCCTCTATCAAATCATCAATTTCGAAATTCCTTCTTGATAACTTCTCTTATAGTCTTTTTGGGTCTTCCTCTTTCTCGAATTGTTTGTCTTCTCTCCATCTAGTTTACTCTCCTTACTACAAAGTCTACAGGTCTTCTCTCTACATGCTCAAATCACCTAAGTCTATTTTTCATCATCTTCTCTACAATATGCAATAATCCAACACTCTCTCTAATAATTTCATTTCTAATTTTATCTTGTCGAGTCTTACCACATATCCACTGAAACATCCTCATCTCCGCTACACCTACTTTATTCTCGTGTTAGTTCTTAACAGCCTAACATTATGTTCCGTACAAAATTGCATGTGTAATAACCGGTTTGAAAATGAGAGTCATCACCCTTAATTTTTATATTTAGGAAGGGAATATAAAGGATAACCCTAATTTGGTCAGAGATTCTAAGTTGTTGACTCGTTTTTAGAAAAATAGAAGGTGTTAGACGCCCCTCATCTACCTTGTTCACAAGGATACTAGGGTTTATATTTACGGTTTAGGAATATGATTTTAATTTTTATTAGGGGAACTCGCATTGGTTTTTAAGCCGCGTACCTATGTATCCTCTTATGAGGAATCAGAGTCCAAATCCGTAGTTCGTAGTTGGTTGGTGTTTTTTATGGATTACGAAGATATTACGAATTTTCCTTGAATCAAGTTTGGGTGTGTGAATAACAGAATTTGTAGACGAAATTTGCAGTCGTTTAAATGTATTTTCATAATTCTTTTTGAAAATTTTCTTAAATTAATTAAGTTAGTAAAAATATTAGTATTTGATTAGTTATGTATTTTTTAAATATATTAATATAAAAATCTTTTTAATGCATGAGAAAAATAATTTTAATGCAATTAAAATGATTTAAATGGGTTAGTAAAAAATATGAATTAATGAATAAATACACTTAGAATTTATTATAAAATTAAATATTAAAAATATTAATTATAGTAATAAATAAATGAAATATAAAAATAAAATAAAAAATAAAAATAATAAATAATAAAAATGCAGTGGATGTAAAAATTAGTTGATTAGTAAATTGTCGAGAGTGTAGATAACAAGGTCTTAAATCGAGCTATTGAATTTAGACCCATGCCCAATAATCTTTTAATCTAATTTGATAACATAAATAATAAAACCAAAGTAAATTGAAAACAATATAGCAAATGGAAAAGAAAAGCAACGTTGTAATGTAAATTATATAGGGTGGTGTATCAGCAGGATAAAACGTGACAACATTATATTTTTTCTAAAAAAATTAAATCTCACCATTTAATACACGACACGTGTCACCTCTTTTTAATAAAAAAATGAATATTAAAGAAATAAAATAATAAAAACAAATAACAAGTTTCTCCCTTCTACCTTTCTCTTTTCACGATTCAATTCTTCCATCAAAATCAGATGAAAAAATCCATCTAGTTCATCAAATCATCAACAAACCAACAAGAGTGAGAAATCAAGGAAAACAAAACAATTAACCTGTCGGATCTGAAGTTGGCAACGCGGCAACGTGGTGGTGGGTCTCCGGTCAGGGGAGCGGTCGGCGTTGGAAGTTATCGCTGGTGCGGTGGATCTCGTCGGCAGATGGTCATAGGTGTTAGTCGTCGGCGTCAAACTCGAAGGAGGAAATTTGGTTTTTTCTCTGTATATTCTTCGGTTTTCCTTCTTTTTCCCTCATAGTGATAACAATCTGCGGAGATCTTTTTCTGCAGGAGTAGATCGAAAAATGATGGGTGGTGGCTAGAACCCGTCGTCTTCGATTGGTTACAGACAATGCTTTACAAAGGCCGATTGAAGGTGTGCGTGGTTGTTGTGATTTGCTCGGAGGTTAGGGCGGATCTAGAGGTCGCGAGGAGTTCGCCTCGTGGATTTGGTTTGAGGTGATGATCTGAGCTTTGTGCGAAGAGATCGACAGAGGGAGTCATGCGTCGTGCTTGGTCGCGGTGGTGGCAGCGACTGTTAGTGCAACGACAAGCATGGATGTTTCGTCGGCGGTTGTTTGGATCTAAGAGGTGGTGTAACGCCCCGATATTTAATTATTTATTTAACTAAATATTTTTGAATATTTTATATTAATTCGAATTTTTATCGTCGAAGTCAAAATTATTTTATTTTGTGGCATGATAAATAATCGGAATTAATTTGGTGAAATTAAGTTGAAGTATTATTTTATTATTAAGCTTAAATATGATAATGGGCTTAATTTGTGGTGTTGTGAAGTTATATGGGGTTATGTTGTAACACCACTTCTAATTAACCCGCGAATATATTAATTAAATCAGAGTAACATGGAAAACAGGGATGTCACAATTCAAGATAAATATAAAAACCTCAAATCTACAGTTATCATGCTTTATTGAAGGAATTATTAAGATAAATATTCAAATCAACATCATGTTATACACAGCGGAAATGTCTCAAAACCGGAATAACTTCACTTCATAAGTATTCCCAACATAAATTAAATAATAGAGTATAAAATAAAACTCATCATTCAAACGTTTCCCCCAGTGTTACAACCTATCAGAGCATGACACTGACACGCGGACTTAAAGTAACATAGCTCTAGAGCCATCCTCACCAACTCCTGAGCTGCTAACTTTAATCTGAAATCATTAAAGTAAGGGTGAGATTTCTCATAATTAACATGCATTATAAGCTTCTCAATCAACAGTATATCACAAGCATATTATTTCACCCATTTTAGCATAAGTTCAGATTCAACACACAGTTCCAATCATACAAGTCATTATGCACAAATCAATAATTAACCAAAGAATTGTAACACTAGAAGACATCCTAACATGTTACAATTCCATGCAAACACAAATGCAGACACAATGCATGTGGTACCAACATGTGACCAAGTCACCCAACACTGATCCATCATCAACCGGATACAGCAACCATCGATTCGTCCATAAACACCCGGACACGAATCCATCCTAACCACCCATCATCTCCCGGGTATCGGTTAACGGCAATACAAGTCAAATTTCACACAATGGAAATTAACTCCACCAAACAATGCATATGCATGCACATCACCAGCATGCAACATCAAATCAACGGAATATGATCACAACATAATTCTAAATAATGCCAAAACCAATATATCACATGATCACATCTCAATCATAATGGATAGCAGGCACAACACATAAGTATCAGTTCTCATTCACCAAATCAGAACAATTTACAAACAATTCTACATCATTCTCAAAACACCAAAGTTTACAAAAATCGGGAATTCGACTCTTTTTAAAATATTTTTCTTAAATAATAATTTTCTTATTTTATAAGATAGTATTTTTAATTTAAGAAATACTGCCGAAAACGGCACTCAAATCGGACTTACGGTTTGAAAGTTATGAATTTTCAAAGTTTAATATTTTTCAAAAAGTTACAGCAGAACCCGATTTCTACATATACAGGAACCGGTTCCTGCGAAGTTCAGAAATCACCCTTCTGGAAAATGTATGGGAACCCGGTTCCTACCTATACAGGAACCGGTTCCTACGTGCCTTTTTGCAAGTTTTTGTAAATTTACACAGTGGAACCCGGTTCCTCCCCACTGGGAACCGGTTCCTGCGACCTGCAGAGTCAAAAACTGCTATTTTTGATAGCATTATGTATCTCAATCTATTCTTTTTCATTCCCATACGAATGAACACATCAATTAACACCAGAATCACCCAAGTATCATCAACATAATGTCAAATAACACAATTCAACCATTCCTAAGAATCTTATATCATGCAATTGGTTCAATTCCACACAATTTGACAACATTAGGGACAAATTCTACAAACCTAGAAAATCCTAAATTGAGATTCCTAACATGCTTAATCAATTCTATTGATCCCAAAATCTACAAGGCATATTAAATAATTGAAATCACCCCTTACCTCGCGATGATCCTTCGAATTCACGACGTTTGGCTTTTTCCTCTCTTCTCTTCTCTTCTCCAATTTCACGTACAATGACTTTTTCCTAAATAACCTCCTTTTTCTTTTCCTTTTATTCTTCTTCTTTTTATATTCCTTTTATTATTTGTCAAATAATAGAAATAAATTAGTTATTATTTAGTAGAGCTTTTTACTTCACACACCTCTAATTCAACCTT